CAAAATTAAGTTGGGAGAGCATTGACTATATTACAGAGAACTTTAAATCATAAAATCATACATATACTGCGCCTTGTATAACTGTTACACAGCTGACCTCTGGGTCAGCGACTTTTATTTTATTTTTATTATTTCTACTATATATCGAGGAATGTTATAATAAATTTTCATAAATTCGTTTTATAACAAAATGGCAGACCAAATTTCATACGTATAAACTTATGTATAATTTGTTTGTTTGTAAGTATAAACACAAGTGCCACACATTACAGGTTTGTATAAAAAATTTTAGCCACGTATATATTTTTTTCAGCTAATATATAACAATGAAAGATAAGAGTAACGTATTAACAAATAAAAAAAATCAAAAATATTACGAAATGTGGCATATCTTTAGAGGGTGGAAGCACGGGTGTAAGGTCTGTGACGAATGCAATCATCATTCACATCTATATTGCAAAACATGCAAAAAGGTAGCGAATAGAATATATAAGCGATATGAGTGTGAAAATTCTATAAGAGAATCGATTATGCCCTCGGATAATTACTGCTACCAAAATTTAAATTTAATACGTGGAAAAATTCATCTTAATTCTGTATAATTGAGTGTGAATATGATTAATGCATGCTCCAAGGCAGGGACAATGATTTTCTGCGGTGGTTAAGACTAAATTCTGCGTGTGGTTAAGATAAATTCTGTGATTTAATGTGATAAAAATTTTTGTCTAATTCTGTGGTAACATTTATAATTTCTTTACAATTCTGCGATACTATATTGTAATTTCTGTGATTTAATACGATCCAAAACAAATTCACCGGTGAATACGCTCGTAATTTACGTTGATTTATTGTCTACCTTTCCGGGATTTCCCGACGCCGGCTTGTCAAATTCTACGATAATATTATGAATTCTGTGGTATTCTGAACAGGAGGAAACGTTGATGTTACACAACTGATTTTACACACAGTGTGAAACACATAAAAAAATTATTTTACAATACTTGATCGGACTTGATCAGTCAATTAGTACATGTTATGATTATAATCCCACACCATTTTTTATTATAAAAAAATGGTGTAGGATTATAATCATAACATGTACTAATTGACTGATCAAGTCCGATCAAGTATTGTAAAATAATTTTTTTATATGTTTCACACCATGTGTAAAATCAGTTGTGTAATATCAACGTTTCCTCCTGTTGGTATTCTGCGCATTTTTTGGAATTATGTGATATTCTGCGGTGACTAAAGGTGATTTCTGTGGTTGGCTGTGATTAAGAGAAATTCTGCAAATCACAGAAAATCATCCAAGGGAGCGTAACACAAATGTCAAATATCAGACATTGGGACATTGATCTAATCAAAATCGCACTTCGTACTGTGTAACGGTTTTCTTGATATCGGTTTAAAACTACCCCATATAGAAATTTTCGACGTGTAGATTATCGTTATAATTTTTTCCCTTTTTTTCAAAATTAGATGGACAAAAGTAGGAATGAACATTATGGATATTTCGAACAAAAGCCTTCAAAATGGGACATTATAAAATTTTTAGAGCAATGTGACCTTGAGCCGTACGGCAAAAAAGTGGATCGATACATTAGGTGCCTCAGATGTATTGCTTGTGGTGAGCAAAAAAAGAGAAAAGAAAAGGCAGAAGAGCTTCTCAGAAGATACAGTAAAGTAAAATTTTTTGTCAAATATGCAAGTGAAAAATAGTGGCGTGACAAGAACTCAAGATCCACTCGGTGCTTGATCATTCAAGGCCATTCGTATTTTTCGCTGCCGCCAAGCCACAAAATCAGTGCTGAAGCACAGACGACCCATGTTGGTAACTCACTCGGTGGTCTGATGTTCAAGGCCATTTGCTTACTCAGCAACCGCTGATCCAGCACTGATCCTACTAGGGCACAGGTAACCCTTCAATCGGTTGTCTGATATTCAAAACCACTCGCTGATCTAGCGATCGTTGACCTTGTAGGATGGAAATCGGGTGAAAGTATGATATGTTAGTTAAGAATATTATTAATTTGAACCTTGTTTGCAAAAGGGAAATAAACCTGACCAACAATGCGTCAAGGATTGGGAAAAAACACGTAAATCAAGTAAAATAAGCGGTGGTTCCTCGATTCATATCCACAACATCCACAATTCGACATTATCAGGAAACTCTCTTACCGTTGCTGGGAACACTTCAACTACTAAACGCAAGCGAGAGGGCCTTAGAGAGAGGAAGGTAGTATCTTATGCCGAAAGCTCAACAGATACAGATACAAGTTTCGATTCCAATTGTAAGGAGTCTAGGAGTGTAAGTACCGTATGTTACCGAATAGAAGCTACTAAAAAATTTTCGATTTTTTTGGGCTAAATCATGGGGGTAGCTTTTATTCGGGTCCAAAATCAAAATCTACCAAAATCACATGTTAGATCGGCACCAATCAAATAACAAGAAATATAAAGCATATATAAGACGTTTCATAATGTGGATCTTCCTACGTTTCAAGTTGTATTTTTGCATGAAATGAACAATGATATAGACGCTTA